TTGACCAGGATGGTCTCGATCTCTTGACCTCGTGATCCGCCCGCCTCGGCCTCCCAAAGTGCTGGGATTACAGGCGTGAGCCACCGCGCCCGGCCTCCTGGTCCTTTCTTACTGGAGATCTTTGTCAGTCTTTCCATTGGTTTTGGAGAGATGTTTGTAGCTCAGAGACTCCTGATCAGTTGAATGGTGTAGTCTTGATTTTCAAATCCGGAAACGTCACATAATTGGAACTTCTTTGTTACTGTATCTTGGTTTTGATGAGATGTTCGTAGCTCAGAGACTACTGATCAGTTGAATGGTGTCGTCTTGGTTTTCAAATCCGGAAACGTCACATAATTGGAACTTCTTTGTTACTGTATCTTGGTTTTGGTGAGATGTTCGTAGCCCAGAGACTGCTGATCAGTTGAATGGTGTCGTCTTGATTTTCGAATCTGGAAACTTCACGTAATTGGACCTTCTTTATAATCTCTGGTTGCTTAGATAACTGTTTTTAGTAAAATAAACACATTGAGTCAAGACAGTCTTGGTTTCAGCAACCTGTGTTTCTGTGTTGTGCTGTCATTGAGCATAGTATGGAATCTGTATTAGAAAGGCCATCTTATTCTGAACTGGCAGGTGAAACAAGTGAACAGCTGAGTAAATGTCAGTATCTGAGTCTTTGTCCTCTTGATGCTCATTTCTTTAAAACCTGCCTTTCCATTCCTTGTGGGTAAGTACAGAGTAATGGGACTTTGGCTCTTGAGGTGTCTTAGGAAATCAACAGGAGTAGGTGAAATACCCAAGCTTGATGGCAGATTGTAGATGTTCTTATCTCTTTGTCTGTTCATATGTATGTGTGTTTGTGTGTGTGTGTGTGTGTGTATTATTTTTTTGAGACGGAGTCTCACTCTGTTGCCCAGGCTGGAGTGCAATGGCGTGATCTTGGCTCACTGCAACTTCTACCTCCCGGGTTCAAACAATTCTCCTGACTCAGCCTCCTGAGTAGCTGGGATTACAGGCACGTGCCACCACACCTAGCTAATTTTTGTATTTTTAGTAGAAATGGGGTTTTACCATGTTGGTCAGGCTGGTGTCGAACTCCTGACCTCTTGATCCAACTGCCTCGGCCTCCCAAAGTGCTGGGATTATAGGCATGAGCCACCGCACCTGGCCGTGTTTTTATATTTTTATCTCCAAAAATCAGAGGTAGAAATCAGTTGTCTTTCTTGCTAGACTAGGTATTCAGAAGCTGTGATGACCTGGAAAACTTCATCCCCTACTCCTCCTAGGGCTGAGGTGCAGGGAGCATGAGGACACATAATGATGGAACTAGCACACTTGGTGGCTCTAGTATATATATATTTTTAAGATAAGGTCTTCCTCATCCAGTCTGGAGTGCAATGTCATGATCTCAGCTCACTGCTGCCTTGACCTCCCTGGGTCAAGTGATCCTCCCACCTCAGCCTCCTGAGTAGCAGGGACTACAGGCGTACCTGGATACATATTTTTGGTATTTTTTGTAGAGATGGGGTTTTGCCTTGTTGCCCAGGCTGGTATTGAACTCCTGTGATCAAACAGGAGTAAGCAATCTACTGATGGGCCTTGGCGTCCCAAAGTGCTGGGAGGCCACCATACCCAGGATTTTTTTTTTTTTTTTCCTGTCTTAAAAGAGACATGGGCAGGACATGGTGTTACTCACGCCTGTAATCCCAGTACTTTGAGCAGCTGAGGCCAGTGGATCACTTGAGGTCAGGAGTTTGAGACCAACCTGGCCAACATGGAAACCCTGTCTCTACTAAAAATACAAAAAAAATTACGCGGGCCAGGTGGCATGTGCCTGTAGTCCTAGCTACTTGAGAGGCTGAGGCAAGAGAATCGCTTGCACCCAGGAGGCGGAGGTTGCAGTGAGCCAAGATTATGCCACTGCACTCCAGACAGAGTGAAAAGAACAAAACTCCGTCTCAAAAAAAAAAAAAAAGAGATGTGACCTCGCTATGTTACCCAGGCTGGACTTGAACTCCTGGGCTCCAGCAGTCCTGCTTTAGCCTCCTGAGTAGCTGGGACTACTGGCACATGCCACCATACCTGCATTTTTCCCCCCCTCCCATAAGGTGAATTCATTTATTGCCCTTAGGAGTTAGGGGGCAGGAACATTTGGATTTTAATTTTAGTAAATTTCCTATAAAAATTTGAGCTGCTTAGGAGCTAAGCAATGGGTACACATGGACATACAGAGTAGAATAATAATTTATAACTGCAGCCTTCTCCCGGGTTCAAGCAATTCTTCTGCCTCAGCTTCCCAAGTAGCTGGAACTACAGGCAAGCGCCACCATGACCGGCTAATTTTTATATTTTTAGTAGAGGCAGAGTTTCACTATGTTGGCCAGGCTGGTGTCAAACTCCTGGCCTCGTGATCTGCCTGCCTTGGATTCCTAAAGCGTTGGGATTACAGGCGTGAGCCGCCATGCCCAGACACGTGTCAAATTTTTTACCTTTTTAAACTTCTTTTGTTTTTTTTTGAGGCAGGATCTCCGCTGTCACCCATGCTTGCGTGTAGTGGTGTGACCTCAGGTGTGAGCCACCTCACCTGGCCTTTATTATGCGTTAATTAATTTTGTATATTTTTATACCTGATGTTATTTGAAATTACGTAACATGCTGTAGTCTTTGCAATAATCCAGAGACACTTGTGTGATAATTGAGTCTCACTCACCATCATGGCAATCTTGGCAAACACAGTTGAATACACCAAAAGCAAAAATTGCCTTCCCGTTGGTTTCCCTTTCTTGCCCTTTATTCTTGTGCTGAAATTAAAGTTCTTAGAATTTGAGCCCTCCTTTTCCTAAACCAAGAGGATTATTTATAACATAGTTGGAAGGATAATTTTGTTGGTATTTTTTCTTTCTGAACTCTTGAATAATCTTGCTTTAAGAGAAACTTTGGAATAATTCTTTCAGCAAATTGGTGTAGCAGGCACTTGTTCTGGGCTTGAGGAATCCAACCCTTTTAGAAAATAGTATGTCAAAAGTTCCTCTATCGTACAGCTCCAAGTATTTGCTTAGCGGTCAGTAAAACAATAATGTGTATGTATTGATATTCTTCCAATACAAGAACCATGTGACCTTCTTTTACTAGACAGTTTGTCTTTGCATTTGACAAAGAATGAATTTAATCCAGCTTTATTTGCAATAATATACTGTATTGTATATTAGAAGAGTTTTATAAAAACATTTAAGAATGAGAACTTTTGTAGCAATCACATCTCAAAATGTATCTACAAGTTTAGCTACCTTTTGGCTTTTTGCTGTATAACAGTTATACTATTGAAAATGTATAGTTGAGCCCAGTGTGGTAGCTCATGCCTGTAATCCCAGCACTTTGGGAGGCTGAGGCGGGTGGATCATGAGGTCAAGAGATCGAGACCATTCTGGCCAACATGGTGAAACCCCGTCTCTACTAAAAATACAAAACAATTAGCCGGGTGTGGTGGCACGTGCCTGTGGTCCGAGCTACTCGGGGGGCTGAGGCAGGAGAACCGCTTGAACCCAGGAGGCGGAGGTTG